TCCGTGCTCAATGGGACGGCACCTTAAGGACCAATAATCACTGACCGTTCACTGATCAGCTATGTTTTCTGAACGCAGCCAATGATGATGAAAACTAGGCCTAAGAAAGTGGCAGCTCGTAGCGAAGATTTTTGCCCGTATTCATAGTCAGGCCTTATATTTAAGGCTTCCTTAAGTTCATCTTCAGATACTCTGTAGCCAATAAAATGATCCGTAGAGCATCTGAAGATGAACTTAAAGAGGTCTTAAATATAAGGCCTGACTATGAATACAGGCATTTGGCCCATATTCTGAATCCTCTTTTATCTATAAAAGTGTTTCTAAAAGAGACTTAGAAGCTACCTGATTGGTTGAGAAGCTACATTTAAGGCACTTTTATCGATAAAAGAGGATTCAGAATATGGACCTTTGGAATTAATATGAAGTGTCATCTCTAAGGTCCGGTTGTACCAACGTTATTTTGATTTTAAGTGACATTTAAATATATGTTTATCTTTAAAATTATGTTTATCTTTATTTATATAGAAAGAAAGATAAAGATAGATATATGTTTAAGTTTCGCTTAAAGCCAAAATAATGTTGGTGCAACCAGGCTTAAGCACTCGAAACTTATATAGACAAAAAATCGAAAATAATAGTATGATTTAACTATAGATTAAATGATGGGTTAATTGGACTTTTATTCTTTTGTAATAGAATTAAATAACAATAAAATTTAGCAATATTAAGTTAAAGAAATTGTCAATAAATAGGATCAATTAAATTTGAAAACACAACAATTATAATCGATATTTTAACCAAAAGGAATCGAACATCGATTCATCGAATATCGATTCACAGATCAAAATCGTTTATCTCTACGCGCGAATCAGTATTCATGAGTGCGTGAACAGTGAATGAAAGTGTGTAACGGAATATTGTAATTTAAGATATTATAAGTAATATCTTTTTTGTACCTTGCTTACTGCTTGTATTACATTCTATTTATTATAATCATGGCGGTGCAACCTAATCAACAATTTAGTATGGGTATGTGAAAATCTAACCAAAATCTCATGTGGCATTTCTATTATTCCAACATAATGATTTATTTTAGATCCTCCTACACAACAGGGTTTTGTCCGATTCTTTAAAAGTCTTCCGGAGGTGAGTATGCAAAAACTATGTTCTATTGCTAATATATAAAAGTAATTGTACAATTAAGTAAACTTCATGTTTACCTGTATGCAAATCATTGATGATATCATTTAATAAAAAAGGTAGATTTCATATGAGTATAATTACATAAAAATATATGAATGGAATAAGTTTGTGGTTATATAGAAAATAAATTTGATGCTCTTAGAAAAGGATATTTTTATTTTTAAATAAAATATGTGGATTGTGTCTTAGTTCTTTATACAATAATATGCTATAATACTAAGTTAGAATGTTAATTAGAATCTTGAACTTATGATATTGTGATTATGTATTTCATTGTTAATTTGCTTTATTTTCATTGGTAACTGCAAGTACATACATGTCAATCATAAATAGATGCAATTTTTCAAAATGTTTGAAATCCATATGACACACAGTTTATTTTATATAAATAAGTAATTTATAAAAAGAATAGAAAATTATATCTAACCAAAGATTTCTTTAGCTTTCTCTTTGGCTTTGTCATAAGTGCTTGTTATTTTATGACCAACTCTGCTCCAGAAAGATGACGTATCTTCTTTTGTTGTAGTCTCTATTACTTGCGTTGTAGTTTCTATCATTTTTGTAGTACTTACATCATCAACCTTATCAATATCTAGTTTATTTATCGGAGAAAAGGTAGTTTCCATTGACACAGGTTTCATTTCTCTTTCTCTAGGTTTCTCTCTAATGTCCCATGCCTCTCTGTCATATATAGGTGGCAAGGTAGCACTTGGTTTTGGTGTAATTCTTCTATAGATATCATCATTACGCAAAGCATCGTATGGTCCTCCACCATATACTTCCAGAATCCGTGATTCTAATTTAGGTTCTGCTTGACTTGATTGTTTATTCAGTTGTGTTGTTTCTTGTGAAATTCCAGTGTTCTGTAGTGGAATTACTGGAGTATATACAGACCTTTCATTAACTTGACTATACAAGGGAGATGTTTCAGATGTATGTGTGCTTTGTGTTTCTTGATTAAAGTCGAATGTATGCTTGCCTTGCGTTTCCTGTTGACTAAAATCAAACGGTTTTTGCTGCTGTTCCGTTTGTTGCGACATGGAATTATATTGGGGGTAATAAGTATTGTGTGAACTCTCAACATTAGTTAAGTCACTTGGATGATAAGTATAATGCCATTGTAAGCCTACTGTAGCGTCATTCGACTTATGTACCCAATGCAGGCGATCTATGTTTTCTTTTTCATTATCGAATCCATTGCTTCCTCGGCTCTGTTGATCTACAATTCTTGAGTTGTGATAATTGAATTGAGGATGTGTTTCACCACTACCATATTGGACAGTTCTTCTATCTTCATTTCTATTACCTATATCAGTTTGTGGATTTATCTCAATTGGTTTAGAAATATCATCAATATTTATATGTGATGGGTTTGAATCCTGTTTTTGATGTCGTTGCCTTGGTTTCGGTTTCGATGCCGGCCTTATTACTGTTTGTTGATCGTGATCAGTTTGTTGAGTAAAGTCTTGATTAAAATCTGTATTCGGTAACATTTGTCCTAACTGCCATTCAAATTCTTTGTTTTGCCTATTTTGTTGAGAAGAATGTTCCGTGTATTGATCATCATATCTCGGTCTAACAGGTTTCCATTGTTGCTCTCTTTGCTGTCCTTGTTCCGAATGTCGCGTCGTTTGTTGCGTGAAATAATCAAATCCGCCATCTTGCTGAGTTAAATCTTTATCCTGTTGAGAGAAGTCTTCCAAATGCCGATTTCCAGATCTTTGCGGCTGCTGCATTTGTTGTGCAAATTCTAGATGACCCATAGTCTGTTGCGTGAATTCATCACTTCCTTCTGTTTGTTGAGTGAAATGATGATTAAATTCCTCCAAATGTTGATTTTTTGGTTTGCTGACTTTATCTATTGGTTGGACATGTTGACCAAATTCAAGTTTATCATCCATTTGCTGCGTAATTTGCTCACTCTGCTGCGTTAAATCTTTCAGATGCTGATTATGTACAGTATGCCCGAATTCAAGTTTACTATTTGTTTGTTGTGTGAAATCGTGGGATCCGGTTGTCTGTTGTCCAAATTGTTCAGTTTGCTGTGTTAAATCTTCCAAATAATGATTTCCAACAGTTTGTTGTCCAAATTCAAGTTTATCACTCGTCTGTTGTGTAAAATCGTTTGATCCTGTTGTCTGTTGTCCAAATTGTTTAATTTGCTGTGTTAAATCTTCTGAGTGCTGATGACCAACAGTTTGCTGTCCTAATTCAAGTTTACTCGTCTGTTGTGCGAAACGATCAGACCCTGCTGTCTGTTGTTCAAATTGTTCAGTTTGCTGCGTTAAATCGCCCAAATGTTGGTCACCAACAGTATGTTGTCCGAATTCAAGCTTACCACTGGTTTGTTGTGTGAAGTCGTCTTCTGTTTGCTGCGTTAAATCCTCCAAATGCTGATTATCAACAGTTTGTTGTCCGAATTCAAGTTTACTACTTTGTTGCGCTACATCATCGGATCTCTCTGTTCGTTGTGACAATTGTTCAATTTGTGTTAAATGCTTTAGTTGTTGACTATCAGTCTGCCCATAGTTAAACTCACCAACCGTTTGTTGCGTGAAATCGTCAGATCCTGCAGTTTGTTGCTCGAATTGCTCACTTTGTTGTGTTAAATCCTCCACATGCAAATTACCAACGGTGTGTTGTCCGAATTCCAACTGACTTTCTGTCTGCTGCGTTGAATCTTTCAAGTGCTCATTACCTACAGTTTGCTGCCCGAATTCGAGTTTACCACTGGTCTGTTGCGTGAAGTCATCTGATCCTTCTGTTTGTTGCGTAAATTGTTCGCTCTGTTGTGTTAAATCTTCCAAATGTTGATTATCTCCAGTTTGCTGTCCGAATTCGAGTTTACCACTGGTCTGTTGCGTGAAGTCATCTGATCCTTCTGTTTGTTGCGTAAATTGTTCACTCTGCTGCGTTAAATCTTCCATGTGCTGACTACTCAGATGCTGATTATCCGCAGTTTGTTGTCCAAATTCCAGTTTACCACTTGTTTGCTGCGTTATTTGTTCGCTCTGTTGTGTTAAATCTTCCAAGTGTTGATTATCTCCAGTTTGCTGCCCGAATTCAAGTTTACCACTGGTCTGTTGCGTGAAGTCGTCTGACCCTTCTGTCTGCTGCGTGAATTGTTCACTCTGTTGCGTTAAATCTTCCAGGTGCTGATTATTCAGATGTTGATTATCCGCGGTTTGTTGTCCAAATTCCAGTTTACCACTTGTTTGCTGCGTTATTTGTTCGCTCTGTTGTGTTAAATCTTCCAAGTGTTGATTATCTCCAGTTTGCTGCCCGAATTCAAGTTTACCACTGGTCTGTTGCGTGAAGTCGTCTGACCCTTCTGTCTGCTGCGTGAATTGTTCACTCTGTTGCGTTAAATCTTCCATGTGCTGACTACCTACGGTTTGTTGTCCGAATCTTTGAGACTGTTGCGTCAGACCTTCCAATTGCTGCGATTCTTGGCCGAACTCCTGATGTTGCTGCGTGAGATCGTCGTGCTCGGTTGTTTGATGTTGATGCTCGTCTACGAAGCCATGGTGATCGTCTCGCTTGTATTTCCTATGATATCTGCTCTCTTGCTGGTATTGTTGAACCTCTTCGTTGCAGTCGGCAGCACCCTGTGCCACATGGCTCAAATCCAAAGAGCCGGTAACTAACTGTCCCGAGCTCGTTCTGTAGGCGGAATTATAGGTGTTGCCGCTGGTGTGCGCGTGGGAATCATATCCCTGTGCTGCGGTGCGATGACGATTGAGATGCTCGTTGTATGCGTCTCTGTCGTAATGCGCTCTGTTCGCATGACCGTAGGACATACTACGATCCGGATATAGGTTCCCACCAGTGCGGCTGGAGGAACTCCAGTGCTCTTCGTAGTGTGTCGTTTGACCTTGTCTGCTGGGATAGGTACCTTGGTTTGGGCTTGGATGGTACACGTGTTGAGAGTTGTCTGCGAATAGCTGGTTCCGCGCTATGCTGGACTGATGGGTGCTAGAGGCGATCGCACGCTGAGTGTCGTCGACTGCATGATGTCCAATAGAATGTACGTTGTGCAAGTTTGACTGATAATTGTCTCTGATAATGGGTCTCTGGAGGTAGCCAGAAGACGCTGGACTCAAGTGAGGTAAATGAGTCGGTTGAGACGTGGGATGTACTTGAGACACATAAGTTTCGTGGCTCTGGTAAGTTCTTTGGCTGTCTGTACCGTATGTACCTGCACTCGTGGAGGGATACGTGTATGGTATGTGTTGTCTGGTATCAGTGGATATTTCTCTCTGCTGTTGATCGGCATAATGATGCATAGTTCCGGTAGACGGAACGCGATGGTGAGTCAGTTGTTGTCTGTATGTATCACTTTCGGCAGTTTGGAGATCATCGCTGCGGGAGCCAACTGTTTCCTGCGTCAGACTCTGAGCAGAATTCGTGTGCGCGCTAGAGGTCACATGATCGACGTTGGACGTCTGATGGAACTCTCTTCTGAAGTCGTCCAGCTGCTTGTGCAAGTTTTGCTGTAATTCGTGATGCAAATCCTGCAGGTTTGTCGAACCGACATCGACTTGAGGAACGCCGGATGTGCTATAACTGGAGGTGTAATTCTTTTTGAAATAACGGACCTTTTTAGGCCCAGTCACGTATTGACCTTCCTCTTCAAAGACGCGCCCGTGGCCTCCGTCGGTTCCATAAGAGTCCACTCTACTCCAGTTTTGCGGAATCATCTCCGTATGGTAACTCGTATCACTCGTTTGGCTGCTGCTGCTATCTCCGGAGACGTGTTGATTCACTTGCGAGTGGCCGCCGTATTCTCCAAAGTCCTCCAACCTTTCGCTCTGGTTGTTGGTTTTTCTTGACGATGAATGCGTCTGTTGACTGTGTACTCTGTTATATCCGCTTTCTTTTGTAACCAACGTTGCTCCTGCCTGATTGTATGCGCTTTGAGAATCGAGGTTACTTGGAACGTATATCGACTCGTGTCTTCGATGACCGGTTAATTGATCTGATTCTATTGTACCATCCATACCCGCATCACCTACGTTGCCCGTACCGTAGGATGAAGTAAAGTTCTTTTTATAATACCGTACTCTCTTCGAGCCTTCCACATATTGTCCTCGTTCTTCATGGACCTTGCCATGTCCATTGTCCGTGTCGTACCGATTGTGTTCGGTCCAGTTCCCTGGTTTAGCATAATCACGCTCGTTCAAATTCGTGCTTCCTTGAATTAAACCAGCATGATCTTGATAACCACCGGACGTTTGGCGACTTTGGTAGGATGAATGGTACAAGTTACAAGATTCTATGCAGCCACTTGGTGCGGATAATGCTTGAGCAAATAATGCGGATAAAACAATTATTTGACCCACCGCCATAGTCCTGCTCTGACCTGTGAAATAAAGAAACAAAAAGATTTGGATAAATTTACATTTTCTTCCTCTTTTTAATTAATATTTCGAGATTTAAAGTAACAAAATTCTGTTTATAAAAAATTTGCAGTTTTTAAAAAGCATATTATTATTTATTTATTTACGCATACAGAAGAAAACTTGCAGTAAATCTTTGTTAGTAAATTTATTAAAGTATAAATGATTTTAGAAGTTATATTATTTTAGAACTTTGTTATGAGGAAGAAAGGACTTTCGCAAATTAATTTTTAGAAGCATGGTGATAAAACATTATCTTTCAAATTGAGTAATAACAATAATCGATAACTTGGAAAGAGAAGCAGAGAGAGGGAGAGAGAGAGAGAGAGAAAGAGAGAGATATGGAGATATATCAATATAAATTAAAAATTTCTTTGAGCACATTAATTAATTTCTCAAAATCAGAAATTCGATTTTAATAATGAAAGAAGAAGAAATATAACTTCAGATGCATAAGTTAAATCTTTATGTTTTTTTACTTTGCCAAAATTAGTACTTTCACATTTGTACACTTAATTCACATTTGTCGTTATTGAAGCGATGCAACGTTTGATTACCTTGTATAATAAAGGAGATGCACACTTATAATTCAGTTGTTAATGCAGAGATGTTCTCACTAACACTGTAGGCTGACATATAGCAAGAACAGATGGCTGCAAATCCATTTATGTTCTTTGCCCCCTTCTCATCGATGATTCTCAAAGCATTCTTTTCCTTTTCGCTCTTACGTATTAATAATCTGTTCTTTTTATCCATTGCAGTTCGGACTCGTCTTTATCGCATACAATTCTCAGGAAATCAAAAGTGGGTTGTATCATTGCATTATAAAAAACAGATACATTCCTATTTGACTCGTGCGTAATATATTTGTCAGATATATAAATTCTTGTCGCTAATATGCATATTTGCATTGTTCTGTGAGGTTGAAATTGTGGATTATATTTTATTCTCTCATGCTGAACATAGTTTTCTTTTCTACTCTTGACAGCTTCTGTGTGAGATCAGTGTTAGAAATATATATACCTTGTCATAAACATTTTTTACTTGAAGATAAACGACTCCTTACTTGAAGTTCTCGCAAACTTGTCTATAACCATGCGTTAAAATACATTACACGGAAAAAACATTATATGTAGAGAAAAATTTTTTACGAGGAATACGTTCGTTTGTCCGAATAGAATGTTAGATATCTTTTCAGTGAAAAATAGCAGATACAACATGATCGTACATTTACAACAATTATATTTAAACACAACATATTTAAGAAACTTGTATCTATCTTATTTTTTTTTAATTTACTTATATCCTCTTAGATTACCCACACGACAACATTCTTGAATAAAAAAATACATGATGCATTTTACTCATGTTGTACATATGTATATGATAATCAGCGTAACTCCACGACTTCCAGGTAGTAATTACAAGTGGTTTTCCATATTTGGCTTGATGTGTCATTGCTTAAGTCATTCTGAATTGGTAACATTCTTGTCGAGATGATCAGACTCTTTTTCATTCAGTAACACTCAGATTTCAAGGTTGCTATTACGTAAAAATCATAACTTCCCCAGAGAGAGTGACATGTTTCTTTTTAATTATATACTATAAAAATGAAATTCACTTTATAAATGTGTTCTCATCTTACACTTATTTTATATTTCATTGAAATAATATAGTGTATTTTTGAATGAAGGTTGTAAAAGATGAATTGCTTGTAAAAACAAGACAACGATGGCCTACTTATAACAGAAATTACTGACCTTCCTGGAATATGAACTGTGACCTTTTATCACACTAAGAATGAATAATGTTTCCATGAGAGCATGACGACCTCAATATATAGGTATCATTGAAGCTGATGGGGATTCCCCATCAGAAGGCTAGCATATGAAGATGGAAAGCTCCCATCCACATATAAGTCATTACAGAAATATTTACGTCAAACAAGATTTATTTTACGTTTATACAATTACTTATATAAAGATTCAGCATTCTATCGATATTTTATTATTCATTCTTTTATTCTCCATAGAGAACTCGGATAATATTGTGTAAATTATGTATTATTAAAAAATCATCTAAATAGGATTATATGAGAATAATATAAGGTGTATTATTCTTAGCAATCTATATAGGATGTATAGATTCTTAGCAATCTCAGAACATTTCCAAATAATATTAGTGGGAAGAACATTCACTTATTATTTTGCTAAATTGTAAAATGAAACGATTTGAAAATTTTTGCGTCTTTCTAGTACAAGGAAAATACATTGATTGAAAGTCCCAGCTTCTGTGAAACCATGCGCATCGAAGTTATGACGACCTATGACACCCTGACCCTCTGATAGACATTGACCTACAGATACGTTACAAGATTTTCGATTTCTCAGAAGTATAAAATATACGACAATATTTCGTACACGGTACCACATTAAATAAACGTAAAAATATCTGTCAGAAATTTCTAATAGATAAAAGTATATTATTATACTTACATAGTATTTAATAGTACAATATAGAGTATGGAATTTAAATAAAAATTATGTAATAAATTATTAAAATATTTTATGATATATTTCTACAAAGTTTTTTTCATTATTTTTTAAATAAAAGTTAATATATTTAATTTTATGAATATATTATGTAATAATCGTTATATACTATATGAAATCGTATTTTTTATATATATGAAATTTAAGAATAAGATTGTTATATATCTACAAATTATAGATGCATATATATTACGGTATATAATGTAATGTTCATGGTTTTGAAATTGTAATTGTAACATTATTTTAGAAAGATATGTATTTATCTTAGAAGAGCTTACGAGTTATACAAATGGGTCAAGGATGACTTTAAATGATAAATTTACAGCATGAGATTCAGTTCACAATATGCAATGACGCATTATGTGTTCCCGTTTCGTCATATGATCTTGGAATATTAAAGAGAATCTAATGGAAAATATAATGTTTTAATAATATAAATTTTTCAAGACATTTCTTTAGTTTGCATAATATTGTGAAACTCGAAAAAATTCTTGATTGACAAAATTTATTAATAATTTAATAATTGTATGTTTCAGAAATTAAACACAACTATACGGTTTTTCAATAGATCGGATTATTATACAGTGCATGGAAGTGATGCCTTGTTTGCTGCACAAGAAGTATTTAAAACAACATCTGTTTGCAAGATGATTGGAGCTGGTAAATATCACTTAAATATAAAAAAGTTTTATATATCCTGAAATGCTTGCTTATTAAATATTTTAGAGGCTGATATATTTTGATATACGCTCAAATTGTTATAAATATTTGCTAAACAGTTATTTTTATTTTTAATTTGTTATTGAAATATTAAAAAAATATATTATACTAATAAAATTATTTTTTAACGCAGAGCCACATAAAACGGAAGGAGTTATACTCAATAAAGGTCACTTTGAAACATTTGTGCGTGACTTGTTGTTGGTAAAGCAATATAGAGTAGAAGTTTATGTCAATCAAGGCTCCTCTAAGAATCAAAATTGGATCTTGGAGTACAAAGGCTCGCCAGGCAACTTATCTCATTTCGAAGATATTTTATTTGGTAATAATGACATAGCTGTGGGTGTATCTGTAATAGCTGTGAAACTGGGTATAGAAGGAAAATCCAGAGTAAGTTACAGATAATAAAGTGATAATAATATAATAACTTATATACATATAATACTCTTGAAAGATTATATATATACGTTTGTGTGTAAAAGTATTGTAGTATTGTAGATTATTTAAAAATTTTTTAGGTCGTCGGTTTAAGCTGTGTGGACGTGGTTTCAACGTTAATTTCAGTTGCTGAGTTTCAAGATAATGAGTCATTTTCGAATTTAGAAGCACTCGTTGTAACTCTTGCACCAAAAGAATGTTTATTAATTCAAGGGGAAGGCAGTTATGAATTCCAGAATCTTAAACAGGTATATATTGAAATATTCTGCTTTTGTATTAAAATTGCATGAAGTGTCGTGTACTGTAGTGTAAGATATTTTGACACATACACAATGTTGAAATTTTTATTTATCTTTTCTTAGCTAATGGAAAGAAGCAACGTATTGGTGACTGTAAGGAAAAAAAATGAATTTTCCAGTGATTCAATTATAGAAGATTTAAACACATTGATAAAATTTAAAAAGGGACAAAAACAAGATGCTCAATCTTTATCTGAAGTTAATTTAAGTATAGCTATGTCTGCCACATCTGCTCTCATCAAGTATTTAGATGTAAGTGTTGTTATAATTTCATTTTCAAAACATTTTTATACTTAAAATGTCACACTTTTATTATATCAAATTTTAGTCATACATTTTTTATAGAAATAATTTTCCTTGAGATATTTAATATTTATTATAAAAGTTAAGAAATTTTACAGCATTTATATAATTCATAATTTTTTAGTTGACATCAGATGAAGGTCATATGAATCAGTTTGTCCTAAAACAAGTGGAGCAATCACGATATTTAAGATTGGATTCTGCGGCAATAAAAGCTCTTAACATCGAGCCTCGTGTTGATTCAGCCTCCAATTTACATGGGAATCCCGCCGCCAGTATTTTAACATTACTAGATAAATGTAGAACTGCACAGGGTCATAGATTGATCGCACAATGGGTTCGTCAGCCTCTTAGAGACTTATCTCTAATAAAAGAACGACATGACGTCGTTGAATTATTAGTGAAAAACAATGAATTGAGATCTACTCTTTGCGAAGATTATCTGAGACGTATACCTGATTTGCAACAACTTGCAAAGAAGCTGGCTAGGAAAAAGTCAGTGTTGCAAGACTGTTATAAGTGAGTCATCTTGTTATTATGAAGTAATGAAGCTGCCATTACAAAATATTGATATGTTTATAAAAAAAATATATTCGCATGTTTCTTATTTGTATGCATTTTAGAATTTACTTGTGCGTATCATACTTGCCGAAGTTATTAGAGCAACTTGCATCAGAAGCGAATCTGGCTGCACTAAAAGCGATGATAATAGATCCTTTGAAAGAACTTATTGAGGATATGGATAAATTTCAACAATTAGTGGAACAAACAATCGATTTAGATGCTGCTGAGAAGGGAGACTTCATGGTTAATGCAGGATTTGCGGATGACTTTAAAGGTATATGTAACGATCTTTAATTTTAATTATATTTACTTTTTATTTAGCAAAACAATATATTCAAAGTATATTTAAAATATAAATAAAATTTCGATATAAAAAACTATATAATTTCTTAATAATTTTTTAATATTGCTATGTAGCTCTAAAAGATGCCATGGATGAAACAGAGGAAATAATACAACAACAACTCAGTAAAGTGGCGGATGATCTCCTTTTGGAGGCAGGGAAAACGATAAAATTAGAATCTAATCAACAATTCGGTTATTACTTCCGTATCACATTAAAGGAAGAGAAAATACTCCGGAATAAGAAACATTACAACATTTTGGATTCTAACAAAGCTGGTGTGAGATTCCGAAATAGTAAATTAAGTGAATTGAATGATGATTTTATAGCTGTCAGAAATAAATACATGGATAAACAGAAAGATGTTATTGCTGAGATTATGGGAATTGCAGGTTTGTTGTGGGCTAATGCTCTATTGATTGGATAGAGGTTATCCAGATATATATAAAACATTACAACAATATAAATATTAATTAACATATTATGTATATAGCTGGTTATAGTGAAACAGTACGTGCTATCGGTGGCGTATTGGCATGTCTCGACGTTCTCACTGCATTTGCTTCTGCTGCAGTAAGTGCTAACAAAGTGTATGTGCGCCCTAATATGGTGCCAAGTGAAGAAGGTGAACTGAATCTCGTTCAAATTAGACATCCGTGTCTGGAGATGCAACAAGGAATAGACTACATTGCTAACGATGTTAATTTTAAGCGAGGTAAGGTGACAAATGTTCTCGATGCAAACTGATTTCTCATGGGACTGTTACTAATAGAATTGTTTCAGTTATAAATTGTTAATATTATCAGAAATTCTTCGAGTATTACTTTTAATTTATTTATTCATAGATCAGTGTCATTTTTGTATTATAACTGGGCCAAATATGGGAGGTAAAAGTACTTACATTAGATCTGTTGGTGTAACCGCACTGATGGCTCACATTGGTAGTTTTGTCCCTTGTGATGAGGCAACTATATCATTATTAGACTGTATATTGGCTCGAGTGGGAGCTGATGATTCTCAGTTGAAAGGATTGTCGACATTTATGATGGAGATGATAGAAAGTGTTGCTATTTTAAAAGTAATTAATATTATATTTACTGTTACATATAAATATTTAACTTATATACATATATATATATATATATATATATATATATATATATAATATTGTAATATATTATGTATTTCGGATGCAGACGGCAACATGTAACTCTTTAGTAATTATCGATGAATTGGGTAGAGGAACATCAACCTATGAGGGTTGCGGAATCGCTTGGTCGATAGCAGAGTGAGTATTTAATGGATATCTAATAGGGAAGTTGTCATTTCTGTTAATTTATTTCATATGAAGAAAAAATTTATAAAATACGATAACATATTATTATTTATATTAAAAGCATTTTATGATTTTATTTAGATATTTGGCAAAGGAAATTAAATCGTACTGTCTTTTTGCTACACATTTTCACGAGATCACCAAACTAGCAGAAGAAATACCTACTGTAAAAAATCAACATGTCACTGCTCTTGTTGAGGATAACAAGTTGACATTACTTTATAAAGTAAAACCGGGAATTTGCGATCAAAGTTTTGGTCTACATGTCGCAAAAATGGCCAATTTTCCTCAAGATGTAATAGAGGTATATCTTTGTTCTACTTGTTTTACATAATTTTGTGTATATGTATATGTTTTGTATGTTATTACATACAACTTTCAGTTTGCTAAAAGAAAACAAGCAGAACTTGAAGATTATCAAGGTGTAGTTTTTGAAGGATCTGATAATTCCCAGAAGAAACAAAAGATTATTCAGGTATTTCTATTTAATATTTTATTTTAATATTTTAATATTTTTTAAAAATATTTTGTTATTTTAATTTTTTATATTTTAATTATTTTATATTTTAATATTTTATTCTAATATTTTATTATAATGTTTTATTTAATATTTTATTTATATTCTATATTTTTATTTTATATTCTATATTTTATTTTAATATTTTTAATATTAATTTTTAACATTTTTTAGAAATATTTTGTTATTTTAATTTTTTATATTTTAATTTTTTTATAATTTAATATTTTATTCTAATATTTAATTTAATATTTTATTTATATTCTATATTTTATTTTAATATTTTTAATATTTATGTTTCTCTAATAAAACAATTGGAAGAACAAATATGTTATATGTATGGTAATTTATGATATGTAATAATATTTGAATATTTGCAATTAATAAGAACAGTGATTGATAATAATTTTAAGTTACATAATGTTATTACAGGAAGCTGAAACACTAATTTCACAATTTCTTACAAAATGCAATTCTTTGGATCAATCTTTATCTGATGCCGATTTAGTAAAACAGATATCATCACTGAAGGAAGATGTCCTTTCTCACAAAAACTCTTACATTGAAGCATTATTCACCGCATCTTAAGTAAAATCAAGAATTGTATTGTGTTAGCAATGCATTATAGAAAAAAGATAATATGATAAATAGTATTATTTTTGTATCTTTGTTCCATATTCTGAACTTTCTTTTATTGGTAAAAATATCCCTAAAAGCGATTTTTAGATGATCAGATTTATAAGTCACTTTTAGAGGCGTTTTTAGTATTAAAAGAGAATACGAAGTATGGTCCTTGTATGTTTATTCCAAACCGTGCGAAATACTGTATAAGTAAGTTTTATTAAACTGATTTTTTGTACAAATGTCATATTTATATATACATCATTAATCTCGCCTTCATGCACATTATTAATTGCATCCCGTGATTTCTCCGGAAAGGATTTTCGGGATTGGAATTTGAAGTAGAATGGAAGTGTTTAATTATCATTACAAAATACCCGCAGTTACAATATTCTCACGATTATACCGTTTGCTGATAACATATTGATTCATACTACCGCTATTGTAACCTTGAACTTGACTAGCGTATTCGTTCGGTCCTGGGGAGTGTCGGGAGTGTCTGAAGGCCTGTATCAGTGACTGTTGATCGTACTTTTCTATCGTTTTTATCAATAATAATTATGGATCCCGCGGTCTTCCCGGAGGAAATTTGGATTAAGATTTTATTATACTGCGATGTACCTGACATTATTGCGTTTGGCAGCACTTGCAAATACTTAAGGAAAACATCGGACACCGATTATCTGTGGTGAGTGCTTAGGTTAAGTGTACATAAAATTCTCGACAAGACGAGCAATTTTGACAAACTTATAAGTAATATATCCCTAATATGCACGATTCCGACGCATGAATTCAATATCAATTTCATTTACTAATCTTACGTAATTCATCATTTGAAATTTTTGTATGATAAAAGTGATCCAACCTCCTTTTTTGGAGAGTAGTATCTAATATCAAATATAACATAAGCATACGAGAAACTTAATGATATTTAAGAAATTTCAAATACTAACACTCAGTATTTCAAACGAAATTATTTTGAGTATACAGTTAGTATACTTCATATTCTAATAAATTTTTAATTTTTTTTTATAACAAAATATATTAATATATTTTGTTGAAACATTCCCAGAGAAATTTTTAAAGTTTCTAGTAATAAGTTCTTGAGCCAAAATTGGTTCTTGAGATGTATAACGAATATCATGTATGAGTTATATGATATATATTGTTAGTTTTTCTAGGTTTTAAGATAATATATTTTATATTATTTTAGGAAGATGAAATGGCTGCAGCTGATTTCTAAGGTACATTTTAAATTCCCAGATATAAAATGTCTACAGTTACTTAGTGTTAGTTTCAAAGCCATGTGCTATAGATTGCACATGGTGATAACACTGGGAGAAAATGCACCTTTTCCAAAATGTTACCACTGCAGTGGCTATACATGTCAAAGGAACTGTGTAGAAGGTTCCAGTGCTAAGGTGGTGATTGAGATTGGAAATAAATATACATGGGTTATTACACCATTTTTTGGATTGAGAAGACACTTTTCAATGTTTGGTATTCCAAGATACAATAATAAAACTCATGTGGAACAAACGCAGACGCAAAATATTCCTAGCAGTAGCACACGCTCAAAACCTGAAACAAAGTCTCTAGCGAAGAGATTGAAATTATTGAAATTGTCGGAATTGGCAACTGCCAAGATTCCACGGCCAAGTGGCCCGTTTTGCGTTTTCTGCAACCCTGTAAAATTGTACAGAGAGAAACGAAGATTAGTCACACATCAGAACGATCCATTGTGTTATACCAGACCAAATCCGATTTATCAGAAACTCATAAATGGTTATTGTACTGACACAGTTGAAGTTCTCGGAATTCCGAACGTGGATATTGTGAGTCCGGCGGAGGCATTATTGTGCGAAGGCACATTCCCAGTTCTTAAAACCTTCATTGATCACTTGTTCCACCAAATGAGTTTAACTACGACATTAAGAAAGCCGAATACGGTACTCATGTTTTGCGAACCATTGGCTATGCATCCAACGTTGAGGAAACAATTATTACATTACTTGTTCCAAGAGGTTAAAGTAGCGAGGTATGGCTATCCATTAATATTATTCAAAATATACTCTTTACACAGAGTATCCTGCCGCTATTATTGCTGCATTATATAAATATAGATATACTGAAAAATATTTAAAATAAAAAATCAAAGGAGCGGTAATAGTTGTGGGACGTAAATTCTGTGTATCTTTAAGAGACAAAATATATATTATATTATTTATTATATTTATATTATATATTATAAACATCTTAATAGCTAGTTTTACAATTTTACAACTAGAGATATTGCAGAGTATGCCTGGTACCTAAACCTTTAGCAGCATGTGCCATGCTGGATGTCGAAACTTGCGTAGTAGTCGACAGCGGTGCTCTAAGCACAACGGTAGCTGTCGTAATTGGAGGTCGGGTTATACCACAGCGCTGGAGGCTGCTGCCTGTAGGTGGTTGGCACGTTGCTTATCATTTGAAGCAAGCTTTGCACTGGCAGCCAAAGGAGTACCATCAAATTCCTATATCCTATCTAGATATTCTGGCTGTTAAAGAAAGATGCAGGCTGAGTTATAACATTAAGAACGAGGAGAAACGTTTGGGACCGAAGGCGAGAGAACACATTAATCTTCGAGTTGATAGCTATGCAGATTATAAGCAATTTTGGGTATGTGTATATATCAAGATATGTTAACGTACATATATTCAGACTTGTGATAACAATATATTCTATTCTTTTCAGAGAGTATCCTTAGGATCTGAATTGTATATAGCTCCTGAAATGATGTATATCAGTCTTGGCCTGCCTCAAGTTATAAAAGATGTGACTTCGGGACTATCGGAGGATGAAATGCACGATTGTCTTTCGCATATTCTACTTACTGGTGGGAACACAGATCTTTCGGGTTTCGAATTGAGACTTACTAAAGACCTAGTTGAACTATTGCCAGAGTATAGCAATATTTTAGAAGTGAGAAGTTGTCCTGGTACACACAGTTGGAATGTCGCAATGGGATCTACATATGTGCCTTTAGCTGTGCATCCGGGTAAGCATCGACATATTTTACTCATAACTTCGCACATAAGACTAATTAGAATCGCAATAAGCACAACGATAAAATCAGTATGAATATTAATAAAAAGAGATTGTGAAGAATATAATAAGAAATATATCGAAATGCATTAGAGAATATATGCGCAAATACAATAAAACCAAATAATCATAAAACGCATTTCACAGATAAAACTCCTCCGGAATATATTGAAGGTAATCCATTTTGGTTGTCACGAGAGGAATATGTATTATTTGGATGTGAATCTCTAGAACACAGTAATGAAGATATAATAGGTGATACTTTATAATATTAACGCCTCACTTACATATAGCCATAAGATACGCGCGATTACATAATGCATAATATCGAGAAAGTAAATGTTACCATCATTAAGTATATATTTTCTCTTATATATATATTGTCTATAAATTGAAGAAATTATTTAAATAGTTGAAGGGGCCTGAAACATTCCAAAGTATAACTAGCATGTTCACTATTTAAGGGCACCTGAATGTGTTTCTCAAATTTTGCTATTTAAAATTTGTTTACTATGCTAATATAGTACACATGTAAGATATATACTAGATGTTCTATTTTTCAATCTATGCCGAATGAAATGTTCGAAACGAGACAAGATACGAAAGACTTTACGTTAATTTAAGTTATTTATTTTATATCAAATATTATATCTCATAAAAGTAGTAATTTTTTTTAGATGTGTTAAACGTAGATATTTTAACTTTATTTGGATATTAATAAAAAGATTTATGTATGTATATATACAGTTGTTCTATAACTAAAATATTCTAATAGTATATTCTGAGATTTAATTAGAATTAAAAATTCTAATACAGAAACTAAGTATAGTACTAAAGCATAATACAAAACATAGCATAATCAGTTTACTCAGGCTCATGATTATGCATACCTATCATTCATTTGTTGTTGATTTTTACACAGCTCAATTGATATATATATATATTTTTTTAAATAATATATGTAATAGAAGAGAGAGACACTATATGCAATTCTACGATTTGTTACTTATATTTTGTACAAGAACTAGACTTTTTGCATAGATAAAAGGAACATCTTGTATATATGCTCTAAAACTGCCCCCATTAACTTTGAAACTTATGGCATTTAAATTTTCACATACACTCTATATATCTATTATTAGGAATATTAATAGTAATTGAAGAAACTATGAAGCTTTATATAAAGCTAATTGATAGTTGCAGAGTAGTTTCGTACATTCGTTACTAGCTCTATCAGGACTATATTAGCACTTGATGCTATTCAAGCCAGTGCAATGTTACATGTTGATGGCATGAATATTTTAAAGCTGCAATATGAAATTTTAGTGCCATCTAAGCAAGTTTAAATCATAAAGCTATTATTTTTTATGTACATAGCATTTAGTGAATTGTTTTGTAAATATAGAATAATGAAGCCGCTTGAATTAAAACAGATCATTATATCGATAACGTCAAACAAGTAATATATATAATGCTGAATATAGTATTTCCAAAAATTGTTCACCATTTCGTACATTTATATCACAGAAATCTTGCCAAAAGAAGTATGTGAATGTTAAAGAGAGAAAGCGACAGAGTAGACACACATTTCTAGTCACTTTAGACATAAGTAGGTTTAAATATAGGTTCATAAAAACGGGAGATTTCTTTCTCCCTCTCACCCTCTTTCTCTCTCTTCCAAGATAAGGTAAATAATAATCGCATTAGTAACTTCTAATAAATAAAAAAAAAAAGATACAATGAATCTTTAGATAATATAATTTCATGAAATACGAAGATATTGTTACTATAATTTTTGTTATTAAAAAGCATAATTTTATGAATAAGATATAATTATTGAAATGATTATTCTTAATCTGTACAGATATCTTATTAATTAAGAGAATATTGACTTTGATAGCTGTAATTAGCATACACATATTTAAGGTGAGTTAAATACATTATATTTAAATAAGAATATACACACACACACACACACACACACATATATATATATATATATATATATATATATATATGTATATATATATAGTGTATCTAGCATAGACGTGTTAATTACAGAGAAAAGTAATATTGTATATGCTACATTATAAAAGACGTTTATATTAAAAAAATATCAATATAAATCATTATTGTGTTAGCTATTAAAACTTTTTCAAGGGGACTTGTTTAGATGTCAACAGATCCGGCGTATAGTATCAATCCTGTGAAAAGCTAAAATGTAAGTATGATATTTTCAACAAATTAACACAGAGTAGTTCGTAATGCAACATGCATATGCTATATCTTTTTACTTTCTCTTTTATTGTTTGTAACATATAAGTGAATTTTTCTTAGATATTCTTAATATAAAGAAACATACTTTTATATACACAATATCTTTGAATTAAATATAAATTATATATCCGATTTATATATAATGGTCATCTATGTATACATTGGTTTACTGTATTCAGATTATATTTTGAAAAGTTGAAAAATATTTCCTATTTGTAAAAAGTACAGAGTATAAAATATCACACATATGTTTAAAATAGTATACCAGTTTATAAAAAATCTTATTTTGTATTCCAATCTAAAATATTTGTATGTATATACTATATAGTTTATACTTTGGTTATATATATATATATATATATATATATATATATATATATATATATATATATATATATATATATATATATATATGTAT